TTTTTAAAATTATGCTTAATTATTATTATTTATCTTCTTTGCTCTAGTGTATATTATATAGAGCTGGAGGCCTTGGGTGCTGGAGACTCAGTGTTGCTTAGTGCTGGCGTGAATTTCCGTATGCCAGCCTTGGGAGAACCTAGACGCCCTGTCCGAGGATCCTCTTTGACCTCGCCCACACAAGGAGAAGGCCCTCCCCCTCCTCCTGAGAACCCGCCCACGCCACCTCCCCCGGCGTCTGAAGGTGAGAGGAGTACTTTAGAACTCAATATCGTTTTTGTTTGTCTTCTTTACAAGACTGATGTTTGTGGTGTCATGGTTAAGCTTTTTGTCATGCAAATGAATGGGTATCTCCTTTGGCCATTGGGAATCTGTATCCCAGTCTGCTCACGTTAGCCCTTACAGGCTGTACTGAAACAGCTCGACTCACATATTATCTCAATTTTTTTAATGACAAAAATTTTATATATATTTAAAAATCTTATCTGAAAATAACAATTTTATGAAAAGGTGTGTGATAAATAAGTTTCAAAATGCATATTGAGCTAAAACGTATTGCAAAACATTTAACATGTTATACTCAACTTTGATTCTCTTCATTTCACTTCAGTATCCTTTCCATAATTCGAACTCAGAAAGTAGGAAACATTTTCTTGTCTCTGCTTCTCTTTCTTTTTGTTTATTGCAAGTGCATAGTAGTGTCATAATAAGTGTTTTCTTTGGAAACAAGGATAGAAAGAAATGGTTTTTCGTCATAATCATCGATGAGACTGTTTTATGTCCAGAGAAGACAAGAAAGTAGAGAATGAGCAAGTACAATGACAAGGGGTGGGTGGATTGGGGGGGGGGTGAGTTTGCGTGTGTTTGTTTGTTTGTTTGTTTGTTTGTTTGTTATTGTGTTAGTGCATGTTTTACGGGGGGGAGGGGATAAAAAAAAGATAAGAACAGGGGGAGGGAGAAAGGCAGGTAGAGAGGAGAGGGGTTTGAAAGCACCAAAAAAAAAAAAGCGAGAAGAGACAGAAGGTAGGGATGGGAGAAAAAAAGAAAGGCAGCGGGGAGCCCAAATGAAAAGAGGGACACGGAGAAATGGATGGAGATAGAGAGAAGGGAAGTAGAATATAGATAGAGAAGGGAGGTAGAATAGATAGAGAGGGAAGGAGAAAGAGAGAGAAGAACAACACATTCACAGATTGAATCCATGAATAACCTTGTTTGTTCATTACATGTAATACAAAAGGCCGAGAGCCACCTCTGAGTGATGAACCTGCACTCGACCTAGAATTGAACCCTAGCAGCTCAGATCAGGCTCGCCTCAACTGGACCCTGTATCCAGTAGAAGCCAGAAGGATCCTGTCAGGATTCAACGTCACAGTCCGTAAGAACGACGCTAGAGGGGAAGTCTTCTTTGAAGACACAGTGTCTCCCAACATATATACTTTCTTCATCATGGGGCTCCAGTACAACCAGTGAGTGGTGTTGTCAGTTTGGCCTCCTCCTTCTTGTCCTCCTCTTCCTCCTCTTCCTCTTCTTTGTCCTCCTCTTAATCATCCTCTTCTTTCTTCTTCTCTTCTTCCTCCTTCTTCTCTTCTTCCTCCACCTCATCCTCTTCCTCCTGCTTCTCCTCCTCTTTCTCCTTTGCCTCCTTTCTCCTCCTCCTCTTCTTCTTGCTCCTCTTCCTCCTCCTTCTACTCTCCTTCCTCCTCTTCTGCCTCCTTCTCATCCTCATCTTCCTCCTCCTCCTCCTCCTCCACTTTCTACTCATACTACTGCTGCTGCAACTACACTACCACTTAACTTTCACTTCATTACTACTACACTATTGCTGCTGTTGCTCTTGGTGCTACTGCTACCACTACTTCTACTACTGTACTTATCTTGATATTCCATTCCGTTATATTGTGATTATGAAGTCCAAGTAGACGGATGGCAACATTTAATGAGAATGATTATGACAATTTGTGAGGCAGCGTGGTGGAATCAGGCGCTTGTCAAAATAATCAAAGTGAAGAAACTTGCATTTTTCCACAGGTTTGTGAATTTTTATCAAATTATTGTTTTTTGGCACAACACCTTTCATGCCCATTAAAGAACTAATTTCTGCATGGATTTTTCTGAAAAACGTTGATTAAAGGCAGAAAAAATGTAAATCTTCAGGTACCACGGACTCTTAAGCTAAGGAAATAACTAATCTTTGGCGGCCATTTTCTCACTAATTTTACCTCTGAAAACAGGTGACCCCCACCTCCTTTTTTTGCAAATATCTCGACTTGTATTCAAGATAAATGGATATTTTTTGCATCCAAATAAAGACAAGTGAACAAGCTTTAAGACGATACCAATAACTTTACATGCCCAAAAATTGACGAGAGCCTGATTCCACCACACTGCCTCACATTTGTTGATTTACTGCTATATGTATACGTTGCTGTTTGTGTTTTTGTAGAATGACGATGATGCTTTTAATGAAGCTCAAGATACAAAATTGCTTTGCTAGTACAAAGTAAATCACATTCCCAAGTCTCCTTTTCTTTCAACTACTTTTATCATGATGACGTTGATGGTAGCACTAGTTAATTTCTGTAAACCCGAAAACATCAACAACTACAACAACTGTTTTCCCACCACCACCATCGTAACTCCACTCTAACC